GCGTTTGAGAGAGGCGGGGCATAGAGGACCTACAATAATGTACAGTATTTGAAAAATAATGTGTTTTTTGAACATTAAAGCATGTCAACATATTCTGTTACACCAAATACACAAAATAATGATCTTTAAAATAGCATCATATGACCCCTTTAACGCATACAAATCCTACTTAACATCCCGAGGCTCAGTTTACTGAAGTTGTCCACCTTCACTTCCCGTCCTAATCCTCTGCAGAACCTAATCCTGTTGCTGCATGGGTGGGGTTCTCTCTTCTCTGTCGCATGTATTCATTGGGGGGAGGTGTTTGGCTCGGGATCCCCACCGCATTGGCCAAGATGAATTTTATCTACCTAACGCCATGTCTGGGAGCTTCCCCTACCGAATTAGGGGAACACTGACAGATCTGTGCCGCTAGGGGGCGTAAGTATGTAATTTCCGAAGTGCGGCATCGATGCAGTGCTCCACAGCGGGCTCTCTTCATTCAGGGTGCTGAATTACAGCCTATAGCAAGATTAAGGAAACCCTGTCTCGTTAAAACACTGCAATAATGGCAGCTTCAACAGGTTTGTCTATTTATTGCATTTACCTTTGCTTTTAAAGATAAACTGCATGGTTGTGCCATAAGGAATAATTAAACACATTTTAGGATGTGTAGCTAGGCTACTGTTGAATGACTTGAGACTTGACACTTTTGGTGTTCGTCGTGAGTATAACAAAAGAATATTCAATAAAATAGTCTGTTATACTACTTCTATGTCATTTGACAGGAATTACTAATATTGTTGCATATATTTAGCCTGTCCTATGCATATTCAGTAGCCTAATTCCAGTCTAATTTAACCTATTTCCTAAATTTGTTTGGATATTGCAGATGCTTTAATACATTTAAAACTTTGGCATTACTCGGGCAATACATATTTGATGCCGTCGCTATGGACAGATTGTTTAAATAGATAGCCTTGTTCACCCAAAAATGAAAAAGATCAAACTGCCGTTATTTCAAATCCGTATGACATTGTTTAAACAAAAAATTAAATGTTAGGAAGAATGACAGTCTCATTTACTTAGCCTCGTTTTTTTCTATACAATGGGAGTGACTGTCATTCTGTCTAAAATCTAATTTTGTGTTCCTCGGAAGAAACACATAGGCTAGTCATAAAGCTTTGACACGACATGAGGGTAATAAATGACGTCAGAATTTCCATTTTAGAGTGAACTATCACTTTAAGAGTGAGAGGAGTGCTGAAAATCGCTAAGCAAGCCGTTAAAACCTTGAAGTTCAGACACAACCGCATCATTGCGCAATAGAGCCTATTCTTAAGGGACCGATCACAAAGTTGTGTATGTTGCATATTTTTTTTCACATAGGTAGGCTGCTAAAAGCTCTCAATATTGGCAGTTTAGACGGCTTTATTGATTATTACTAGAGGAAATCCACTCGCCACTTGCTAGTGGAGACTGCAGTTCTTGGAGCGCTTGCCTCCAACCGGCTTTCCGCTGAGCCCGCAGCCTCTTAATGCAGCTAATCAATAACCCGAATCCTGACGTTCTCGGCTGAAAACACTTGAGTTTGCAAGATGCCCTTCTGCCTCATAGGACACGCTCAACAGCTAATTGAGATCACTATTTATGTGATTAGTATTTCGAAGGATTGCAGTCTGAATGCATTTCAGCTAATAAGCCCGTTATTTGAGAGCTCATTAGACTCTCACTGTCCAGTGTAGGCTAATAGCTTCATATATAGATTTAATAAACCAGCATCTGTCCATGGTGCTGAACTCTGTCCCCTTCATTGTCTTCCTTGATCATTCCATGTCTTCACGGTGAATCACATTCCTAAGATCCATATTAAGTCTATTATAGGGGTTCCTTGTGTTTCATGTATTTCAATGTATTTACAGAGTCATACATGTATATGGACCAGAGTGCTTTTCATTAAGGTAAGCAGGTGAATATTGCATGGAAATATATATATATAGAGAGAGAGAGCCAATAAAAAAAAAAAGGTAGGCCTATTTCACCGTTCTTGATTTCTGAGCTCAGATTACGAAACATTGCGGACCACGAGTGTCATCCTTGCTGTGGTTATGTTCGTAACCGGGATTCTTATTGCTCTGAGTAAGTCAATTAATCATAGACATTTTAGCGCTAAATGAGTGTAAAAAATAGAAAATGGCTGTGATGTTAGAAAATCTTGTCATCAAGAGTGACATTTACCGGGCATTGCAGTCAGTCCAATTTTACTTCAGTCAGTGCAGTGAATACATCCAGTTCTCTCAATCCACAAAACCATTTGTTTAAGTACTTCTGCAATGTGAAAAATTTTGTTTAATTAAAAAAATTAAATGAGATTGAATGCATTTCTTACAAACTGGCTAAACTCGTAATTGAATTGACCCCAATCTAGGTCCCTCTCAATTATATATTTCACCATCTCTAAATGTCTTTTGCCCTGACAGGTAAAAAGTTCAAATGCTCGAAATCCAAGTAAGAGTTTTTCACACAAATGTGCAGCCTTGACTGTGCATGTGGATTAAAGGGGTCATATGATCCCGATCACAAATGCAGACATGGGTTTTATGTTTACGCGGCGCGATACGCAAGCAACGCGTAAAAAGACAGTATAAGTCATTATAATCAGTAATTGTGTCCCCACTGGATGCAAGAAATGCCTCGTTTATAATAGGTTTTATTGATTTTGTCTCGTTGCTCCGGCCGGGACACGGCATCACAGTATGGTCGTAGATCATTTTTGATGATTCAAAATCCTTGTTTAGGCAGCTTCAAAGTAATCCACATGACCCCAGACAATAAATAAGGTTCTTCTCTTATGATCAATGTAAAGTACCTTGGAAATAATTTTTTTTTTTTTTTTACTTTAACCGCATAAACACATTTCATTACACCAAATACACAAAATAATGTTCTTTTTAGCAACGTCATATGACCCCTTTAAGTACGAATAAAGGATGAGGAAATGTCCTGAAAGAAAAAAAAAGATGTAGCCTATATCGAATCGATGGTGCCATGCCTGTTCACTGGAAAGCTCCTTTACTCTTTGAATGTAGCCCCTGGTTTCTAAATGTATTGGTTTCTGAACTGACCAGCTTCTTTTTTCAGCTCGCCAACACTGTCTATCCATTCAAACAACAGCATGGTTTACTTGTACGACCTGATATATCAAAGACATCTGCTGAGTTCATAAAAGCTGCAGTTCTGGTTCAATACGTTTAAAACAATAGAGCAGAAGGTTTGTTGTTCTCACACTTCCTAAATCAAGGACTAAAGTGGGTAGGCAGTGTATATCAAGACCAGAGGTGTCCAAACTCGGTCCTGGAGGGCCGGTGTCCTGCAGAGTTTAGCTCTAATTTGCCGCAACAAACCTGCTTGGAAGTTTCAAGTATGCCTAAGACCTTGATTAACTGGTTCAGGTGTGTTTAATTTGGGTTGGAGCTCAACTTTGCAGGACAGTGACCCTCCAGGACCGAGTTTGGGCACCCCTGATCAAGACTGAGGCTACCTCTACACTAATCCAGCTACATTAGAAAACGCATCTTTTTCTCTACACTCTAAAAAACGTTGGGTTATTTACTGTACCCAATATCTGGGTTAAACATGTTGGGGCTTTTTGTTGGGTTATTCCTATGTTTGTTGGGTTATTTCTATAACAACACAACCAGTTGGGTTAAAATTTTAAATTCCAACGGTCGTTCGGTGCAACTGCGACAGATGACACAGTGGTAGCTAATAATATGTGTGCGTTATGTTGTTTTTTGTAACAACGTGTCTTTAAGCCCTGACACAGTAATATTGCTGTTTTTCCTACGAGTATGTTTACATCTCCCCTGTCTGTCGACTTATATTTTAATCCGTTATCTGAACTCTTCACTTGACACGAGCGCTTTGAAGCCGATCAATTTCAAACCTATAAGGACACTAAAAAAATTGTTTAAAACATTTAAGTAGTTGATATTTATTTTTGTAATGTGTTTATGTGAAGTCATAATCTTGTTAGAATGTAGTACTGTTTTGATTTATGTTTAATAATTTTCATAGTGTGATTTTTGGTGTACTGTATTAAAACTAGTTAGTTAATTAGAATAATATATGAAACCCACAAAAGCATAAAAAAATGTATGTCTCTGTTCACTCTGTTTCAATTGATACATAATAAGAAGTGAGATTTTAATTATATTTTGAACACTGAAGTAGGAAATGTTGTCTTATGTTTGAATTTAACTGTTCCTATTCTTTGTTAATTTTAGATTGCTCTGGACTAAGGTATATTATACCCACATGTCAGGGATGGATAGACTTTGAGCTCTAAAGGGCATGGGTCTCAACAGATAATCGCATATTGCAAGACAAAGAAGAGAGCCTAGGATCTTACAGATATTTCTTCTGGTGAGAAAATCCTGTTCTGTATTTTAATGCCAAATTGTAATATTTTACGTTTAAAGGGAACAAAATTGTTTTTTCACCTAAAAATGAAAATTCTTTCATTAATTACCCACCCTTGTGTCGTTCCTCCCATAGACAGCAAGGGTACTACCACGGTCAAGGCACAGAAAAGTACCAAGATGATTGACAAAGTAGCCCATGTTACATCAGTGGTTCAACCGTAATGTTACGAAGCTATGAGAATATAATTTTTTTTTTTGTGCAAAGAAAACAAAAATAACAACTTTATTCCACATTTTCGTCTCTACTGCATAGGGGTGTGCCATATCATACCGTCCACGATAACACCGGTATACATTTTTA